AGGTGTTAACCTCTGCTGTGGGAAAATGTTCAAAGCTTTTGTAAGTTCAGCCTAAGTCTTGAGAATTTGGGCAGGCTGCAAAGAGCAAACTCTTTACAGCAGTCTTAGATGAGTCAGGGAAAACCTAAGTCAGCAGTAGATATGGAGCTGCCAAACGGTGCCTGAATCCCTCTGACTGGCAAAACATTAATGAAGGGGAATGAAAGGAGGAGAGGATGAATGAACTTCCAAATCTTAGAAGCAAATGCCAGAAAAGAAACATCAGAGAGGAATATGTCCATTGCATTGATATATATAGCAGGACAGAAGAGCTTTAAGGCCTTCAATGCCAGGACAAAAGGAAATTTAATGCTCCCAAACAACATCCCAAGCCTGGAATTTCATGCAGAAGTGTCACCAGGAAAAGAGAGGAAATGATGCTACACAAGACTATAGATCACTTTCTTACAGATCTGCTAAATCACATGAATAAGGGCACTTAGCAGCTGGAATAATTTCCAAATAGACTAATTAGACTGAATTATTAATGGTAAAATCTATAATTGGCTCAAAGCAAAGCTATGGCAAACAACATACTGAATAGCTGCAAGGCTAGTAAAATAGTTTGCTTCTCGAAGGAATGTGTCAGCAAATGAGGAGAAACCCCAGAGTGATCCTAAAGTGTGTGTCACAAGACAGAACCGGCAGAGACCAGACAAAAGAGTAAAGGGAACAGGTAAACAAATGTAGAAGTGATATATTACMTTTTTTTGCAGTATGTGAAACAAAATAAAACAATGCATAAGCCTCTCCCTGAAGGGTTGCCTTGTTAGGCATGCAGTAAAAAATCTAGCTTCACAGAAATGTGCATTCTTTCCAAATTACATGGACTTACAAAAGGAAAATGCATGAATGTGTAGCTGATGGACAGCGCTCTGGGAAGGATGATAAAACAGCACTCTTTGAGAGCCTACTAATATTTTTACAAAGAAAAGCCATACAACTTTTTCTAGGGATGCAATTTTGACAGGGACAATTTTGTGCTGAAGCGAGTACTTGAACAAGAGGCTAGAAGCACCAGTAGATACCTCCATYAGATGGGAGATGCACCAGGCTAAGCAGAGGAGGACTTTGTAGTTGGATGTATAGCTTGTCTGCTTACCACAATACCGAAACTGTTCTCAAATAATTTGATAAGCTACACAAAGGAGGGCTGCAATGAAGATGCAGGAATTTGCCTGGTTGAGTTGCCAAAGTGCCATTTCATAGCATTCTGTCTCCTCAGTGCTGGGTCAAGTGAAACTTAACCTTGACCAGGCAATAATAGTAGATACTACTAAAGAAATAAAGACACTGGCCACATGAATTTTCAGGCTTGCCATGATAATAAAACAAGTCAAGTCAAAGATTTGGATACATTTAAAAGAAATGTTTCAGTGCCATAAAATGTTCCATAAAATTTGATGAAGAGGTCATACCTAAACTTTATAAAGCAAAACAAGCATGTTGTGGTCCAAAAACAATACATAAAATGCCCCTATACATTTCTTCTGGTATAAACCTTCAAGAAAAGTGAATTCCTTTTAGGATATCCTTAAATATTTCATGTGCATGAAAGCAGCAGTTTTGCCACAGGTTTATGACATTTGGGAACAGTGTTTCAGATGCCTTTAAGGTTAATTCAAAGATTATAAAATTGCAAAGTTACTGAATGACCAGCATGGAACTTTTGCCAGCACACAGATTTTCAATAATTTTTATGGAGAGAAAAAGGAAGAAGCTGCAAGAGGTTTTGCTTGGAGTAGGTATAATTTGAGCATGACCCACTTCTGTAATGGAATTAAACAGTCTCAAATAAAATGCAATAAGATGAGCTAGTCTTAGGAAAGCTTAAGTGTGCAATTCCAAATGGAAATATTCTCCAAAAGAGAAACTTTTCCACCTTACATGATAAAAGCAGCGTGGCAATACTGAAATGAAATTATAACAGACAGTGCAACTCCAGGTACAGGACACTGTGTAATGGTACCCATATACAAAATGAAGCTAGAAATGCTAAGCATAACTTGCTGTGTCCATCTGGTACTGTGCAAGATGCAGGACTAAGAAAAATCCTACAGTGGTCAAGCAAATGTGCTGTCATTCAAGATAAGGAATTGAGGTATGAATTCTGTAATAAATATAGAAAAGTATGCAAAAAACCTCTATAAATCTAAAARATCTGTGTACATTTAAATTAAATAGGAAAGATGAACTATAAACATGTTTTTAAATGTTTTACAAGACATGCTGAGTAACAGTGCAATAGCTCAAAACCACAGTTTCCTTGCCCTGGACTCCAGATGAGCTAATACTAGATAATAGCCTGCATTTCACAAATGACTTATTTCCACAATTTGCTTGAGAAATTAGCTCAGGCACACTACAGCAAATCCTTACTAGGCACTGCCACATGGGCTGGCAAGAAGACTATTCAATAAATACATCAGAGAACCAAGAGGTCCAAGAGAAAAAGGTCTGGCATTGTCAGATTATCACAGCACTTGTCTCAGTGCTCCACTGAGATTTCCTCTTCAAAGAATTATGGCAGTAAGGGACAAAACTCATTAAGATCATGAGCCAGAAATATTTTATCCTGAAGTAGTTACAGAAGACCTGTTTGACCAGAAATTAAAGCAGAAGGAATGCCACAAACAGATCTGAAATGAGCAGCGCTGCAAATGGAAGGGAAAGTTAAATTTCAGACAGAGCACAGCTATTAATTTAACAAAGTATCCTGTCAGCTGCAATCAAGTCAGATGTTGTAAGCTTCCACGGGTATTATTCCCACTACTGGTCCAGAAGTTAACTAAATAAAGTGAAGAGGACTGTGGCTCTATGCATTTTGAGGACTGAGGGGGTGATATCTTAAGAGCAATTATGTATTTAGAGAAGTAAACAGCTTTTCATTCAAATTCTGTCTAGCAAAACAGGCTTGTCGAAGACCTCTCTAGAAGGGATAACTGCATAACATACAGGGCAAGCAAGCATTACTACTTGCTGTCTTTTAGATTAGATGGGTCTATATAAGTATTTCATTAATTTACAGTTTAAATGTGTAGATGTCATTTTATGAAAATTTGCGCTAAAAATAAAATTGGGAAAGGTGTAGCAGTTGCTACTGTCTTGTGCCAAGCAACAGAGAGAATAAACTTTTGTAACCCTGATCCACATGTCTATGCTGGTGCATAAAACAGGTTTGATCCCATCCCAGCACATCTTTATTAAAAATATCACACACCTTGGTAGAATTTGGCAGATAAAATAATCTGGTGCCTCTCATCTCAGTTACTTTCAGTTTCTAACTGTTGGATCTTGTTATTGTTGTGTCTGCCCACTCTAAGAGCATGCTACTATCAGATGGTTTCTCCTTGCCTAGGTTCTTCCACACTGTGTTCAAATCATTTATAGACCTTGTGTTAAATAGTTCCAATCAATCTTTTTTTTTTCAGCAAGTTGTGGGGTTTTTGTTTGTTTTCCAGACCATGAATTATTCCTGCAGTTCTTCTCCAAATCTTTCCCGCTCTTTCAAAATCAGATTTAATTATAGACATGAGATCAAGATGCCCAGAAATAGTTTTGCTTAGCCCAGAGATAATGTCACCTCATACTCTTATTGCATATTCCCATCAAAGCATCCAAGGAATGAACGGGCACATTTACCTGCCGCATTACATAGAGAGCTCCCAGGCAGATGGGTTATTAGTTGTGAATCCAGAGACCTTCTCAGTGCTGCTGTGTTCAGGACGCCCTCCTCTTCTGCAAGTAGGGCTGGCTTTCTCTGCTCCTAGTTGCATGGCCTTATCTGTCTCTACTGAAGCATTTATTACCTGAACATACCAAAAGGTCTAGATGTCTCTTTTTAAGTTAGGAGTGACCCATCTCATTGTGCAYGGTTATACTGAATCTTGCTTCAGTAGAATCTTTTCTATCTGAAAAGTCTTATCAGACATCTTCCAAATCACTAACAATTAGATGATACTGAGCAAGAACTGATCTCTGCTGCTACACTAAAAACTCCCTGATATATATTGATAATTTCCAGTTAGTAAACAAGACTCAGTGAATTTCTAATAAATTTAATAATTTGCCATATTTGCTTAGTATAGCTGTAATGTTTTAATCTGAATGTTGTGCTGTAGTAAGTTAAATATCACACTGATATCTGGGCATGTTACACTGCCACAGCCCCCATATAGCTAGGATTTTAATTACACAAGAAATACCAAGCTAGTTTGGCAAACCCATTGCCCATAAAGCACTGAACACCCACAACACATCATTTGCAGATATCCATACATGGACCGATGTGTGCTTGCACAAGGGACTAATACATTTCAAATTGTCCTCGCTGAAGGAACTTAATGTCTATCTAGTACTCAAARCTCTGGAACATAAATACTCATTACTCAAGCCTTTAACTCTTTGGAACTACATGTGCTTTTCTGTATTTCATCCTTTTAGCTATATCATACCATAATACAGCTTTTCTGTGAAGGCTGAATGACATCTGTAGCAAGAACGGCTGGAATGCTGCACAGAAAATATTGGATGACATTGAAGGCTGGTGTTGTAGAAATGGGAAAAACTCAAAAACACAGAGTGCAAAGTCATGAATCTAGGGACTAATAACCTGCATCTCTGCTACAAACAGGGAGCTCATCAGTGGGAAATAACAGTTTAAGGGTGAGAGGATTCTGTGACAGTGTTACTTGTGACAACAGGAGACTACACTAAAAGATCAGAAGGTCTTTTATAGCCCTGTGTCTTACAGGCACAGTTTCATCACTGAAGTAATATGTAATTACATTGTCCTTGATGTACACCAGGAGGAGCTCAGAAGGAAACCAAGGCCAGATCATGTCAAACAACTACGAAAATGGATTTTCAAACACATGGAAAAAAGAGGTACACATAGAAACAGAGATCATAAAAGCAACACGACAAAGATAACACATTTATTCACAATTCAACATCCTTACCTCCCATGAGGAAGAGAAGCCCTGCCACATACTGCATAAGGCCTCGATCCCAACAGCACCCCAGCACCCCGATAATCCAGCCAAAGAGGATGATGGCCACAGCCATGCCCATGAAGCCAGCTGTCATCCTGCGCAGATCTGCAAAGGGGAACACAGAACAACAGGAYGCTTGTGAACAGTGGAAAAATACTGTCATCAGAGATAACCCAAAACTCTGCAAGGTCTTCAGTGCACATTGGCTCAAGGTGATTTGCATGAAGGGGGTTCAGAGGAAGGATGACCCCTAGATTAAGACATATGTTGAGGGAGAACCACTGAGAGTTTCACCATGAAATGGCACTCAGTGAAGAATTAGAAGTTGTACGGTGGTGTCASTGCAATGCTACACCTAATCACCTTAGTCTCTTGGTACTAGCACAACCTGTATTTACCTCCTACCTCCATGTCTGCACACATACCCCACTGCATCCCATAAATACAGATCCTCAAATTGTTGTGTGATGTCTTTGCACTTTGCTCCAGTGCAAGTGTGACTCAGGATTCATTTCTCCATTCTCCAGCAGACTGCCTGTATGTTCTTGGATAAGACCCTTAGCTCCTCACTGGTCTCAGTTTCCCATGTGTACAGCCAGGGATATAGTTCCTTGCTGTCCAGCACTGCTGTCTGTGAAATGAAGTACCTCAGGGCTGCTGAAGCACATAAATTCTCTTGTATCAAAGACAATAATGTGCTGTACACACCAGGGCACAGGACACTTTCTTGACCTCTTTTGCATCTAGGTGGTGACCTCATCACATGATTTTTTGCTGAGAATGCAGGTGAGTGCTCCCAGGAACACTGAGAATAGGAGAAAGGCATAGGCTGGACTGAAGCATTTGGGGCACTGCGAGTGGGTACTGATAAGTACATATGATATGGGGCCAACCTGTATTTATTTCATAATTCAGGAATAAAAGATCCCTGAAGTCTAACAGAAGAACCTTGTGTTAAAGCTTGGCTGTGCCTAGCATTGCTCTTCAAAAAAGGATGGGAGTCCTCCTCCTGACTGTGCTGGTAAAAAACAAAAACAAAACCCAGCTGTTTCTGGTGTGAAAACCGAGCAGGGGAGACCACTTGTCAAACAAAATAGCAGGGAATAGAGCTGAGAAGCAATTTGCCACTCTCAGTGGTGGAACAGATGGTGGCATCTTCACTAACGTTTGACTCTCCATCCCCCATCATGTATGTGTACAAAGTTTAAGCACCGCTACATCAAGAATATATATGCAGAGATCATTCCAGCCCAGTCACCTCGTCCAACCCTTGTTTCCTGCTTGTAACAAATTTTATTTGCATAGCAGCTATTTCATTTTCTTTCRAGAAACAGAATGCTTATGACAGGGAGAAGAAGATTTGAAAACAGTGAATCAGCCACCAGTCTGTATGGCAGCTTTTCTCCTTGGCTGGCCTTTGTCTGTTTCTCAGGCTGACTCAAATTTCTCGTTTTTTTTTTTTTTTTTCCCACATTGGATCAAAAGAATTGCCAATAACAGGAGTGCATATTCAGTAAAATTTTTTACAATGATAATTATCATCATCAGAGGTTCATTAAGCTCTTCGTCCAAGATCCTAAGACTCTRCAAGGTCTGTAGTGTGCTAGCACAGGACAATTTGATTTGGTTAAAGACAATTTTCACATGGTTGCGTTCATTATAGCACTTTTTATGCAAAATGAAGTCACAGAACACAGCCTTTGCCCCGAAATTACAATAATTTTCTGTAGATTATCAATAATTTTTACAAGGACAAAAACTCTCCTAGCTACACTGTAATAATTACCAGGGTCTTATCCCACCAATGACCAGTGTGCTTTTAAGAAGACACACCTTCTAGAATATATCTTTTTATTCAGGCTTTGTGACTATCCCACCAAAAACAAACAAACAAAAACAACCCYCAAAGCCTCTCAATATTTTGAAAGACAGATGAAAGTATAAAAYGTTTACTGTTTTGTTTGTCGTTGTCCATACCAGCAAAACACTTCCCTCAGAACTGCTGTAACGGTGTCTGTGTCAGCTCCACACAACCATTCTACTTTGTGACTACCGATGATGGAGCCAATCCCAGTCATARGGTCCAGATGGAATCACAAACATTGCCACATCCTATCTATCAAGTCAAGGAATAGCTTCTTCCCCTCTAAATTCAGTGTTAGTTTTTCCATGGAACTGAATGGTTAGAATAGCAGGAACAAGATTTCTAGATCCAATATTTGAGGTTTGTTTCACTTGACCTCTCTTCCTGATGGGACTTGAAATTCCCTTTCTAACACCACAGTAAAATCCATCAGCATCTTAACTCTGGGCTTATGTTATCTCTTGGAAAAAAAACAGAACACTAACCTCTGASTCATGCTTAATACCACACAGAAAAAAAATAAAGGCAGTTCTTTAGGAAATTCTAACTCTTCCAAGTTTGGTAGGCTCTATTAAAGGTTGCCCTTCCATATGCCAATTGCAAATCTCTCCTCACAAGCCTCTCCATTAGCACTTATCTGAAAGAAATAAAATATAAACTGTCTTCTCTTCAAAACCATTTTGCCTTCTGCCCTAACATAACCATCATTGTGATCAGACCTTGAAAATGGCCGTGGTGGGAAAGAGAGTTGTAAAGCAGGTTTCATGAACAGCCCGTGCTTGTTCAACAGAGTTCCTCAGCCATCAGAGCCTGTAGGAGACTGATGGCAGTGCTGGGAACGAGTCTATTCAAAGTGATTCTTTTGTGGGAAAACACTTAATATATATAGCGTATTGCAGTACCTTCAGGCTATTTAGTGAGGAGAAGGACACAGAATAGAAGCCTACTTCTACTGAAGACAAACTCATAGATTCTTTTTATGGTGACTGCTCTGTTAACATGACACTCACAAAGAAAAGGACAGTTGAGAAGAAAAGATTTGTATTGCAAATTTAAGGCAACATGTAAGTTATGCTTTCTGTTTATTTAAGAGTGAAGGATGCCATATAAGTAACCAACAGCTCATTTGTTCAAATTGATGAGTTTTTGTTTGACCAGCCCTGGTGGACTTTCCTGATTACACCCTGTAAGAGTAAAAACAGTCACATTTTTGTCACATAAGTCCACTTTATGATATTTAAACAAGCTCTGGGTTTTGTTCCTGTTTTTTCTTTCCTTTTTTTTTGTATTCTGAATGTTTTTGATTATTTTCTATGTTATGTAACGTGGGATTCTCCAATTTCTTTTCTTCTTGGAAATCTCTCTGAATAACCACAGAACGATCAGGATCACGGCGTGACCATCTCAGCCAACTGAAGAAGTGACTATACCAGAAAAAATGTATTTTTGAACCTTACACAGCTAAATCTGTGCTGCAACAGCAAAGATGCTCATTCATGTGCACTGAATGTATCTAGTTCTATAGCCAACCCTCTTTTGGGTAATTATCCTGATTCCTCATGATGTAGTGATGTGCACAAACTGCAGAAATACTGCAAATCTCCCTTCTTCAGCATCCAGTAAACTAAACCAAATCTATGTGGCTGCATAGTGCAGTTAAGGAAGGAATCATTTTTCATTATTCTGTAAGATGGAATTTGATTTTCAATGCCATGCCTATACTAGATATAGTTGTCACCCCCATCGTTTGAGGGAGGAATCTGACTCCATGAGGGTGAGTACAATATTAACATTTTGCTCATGGGATCTAGAGGGATCATGTTTTAGACACAAGTTCATGTTATTTTCTTTACCACATAAATAGACTAAATATTACGTGTGATTAATGTCTTGTTCACTTTGGGAAGACTTCCCATGCCTGGCACTGCTATAGCTGCTGCTGCTGCATGGAATTGGCAGGGAATTCAACCTGAACTAAAAGACAATGTGGATCATCAGGCCAGGAATTCAGGCATTATGCTTACATAGACTATGAATAACAAATCTCTTCATTAATAATATGGGAGAATATGAAACTGAAATAGTAAGTTTTAAACCAACAAGCCTCATGAACCAATAAAGGTAAGGCAGATATTACCATTTTAGACAAACTCTTTAAAATATTCTTATAAAACAAYATGCATTTTCTAGCAGTATTTCAGCCTTCAGCTAAAATAAGGAATATTAAATCTGAAAGTGTTCTGGAATTAATGAAGGGCAGAATAGCTCATTAAGATATATTCCCTCCCAAGCAACCAAGTAGTAGAAAGTTCTCCCTGCCAGTTTGCTAAGGCCCCTGCCCTTCATTTCACCCTGATATCTGTTCATCTATATTTGCTGTGAGAAATAAAGTATTTCATACTCTTTGTCACATTGTGGAAGGAGTTTCACACCCCAGCAACTGCAAACATAACGTGTTCTGAAACAGCATTGCTTTCTGAAGATTTCAATATGCCTTTTTGACTTCTGATGTTCTGTCCTCTTCTTTGAAATTTCAAGTCATCTCTCGAAAGCAAAGCTTGATCGTCTTGTCGATATCTCTCTATCTTTCTTTCCACAGAGGAGTTTAATACTTCAAAAATATTGAGGTTTATTTTCACAACATGTACAGGAAGGAAAATATGAGCCTTCTGTGAAAGATGGGGAAACCAAGACAAGACGAGAATAAAGAACCTGCCCATGGCTGCACAAAATATTTATGGGGGAAACTGTAGTTGAATTTATATTACCTGGATTTCTGACCAGCATCTTATCCACAAGGCACTCCTCTTGCTTTCAGAACTGCTTGTTTTCAAGTGTCACCAGATCAAACTACAGTGTTCCCTATCAGATCGACAAAAAGCTCAATAGTACCACATTATAAGTCAGATAGTTCATCCTACATCTCTCTCATTTCCCCAATAAACAACAACAACAACAAAARGTCCATATGGACTAAAGGCTATAAAATGCATATCCAGAACCCTTTAGACAAGGCTCTGGGTAGAGCTCCATTCTAACTTGGAATGTCCCAGCAGAAGGAGAGAAAAAAGAAGAAATCAGAACTATATTTCTGGACCATTCTATGGCTAAAAATCAAGATTTACAATCAAAATGAGCACAAAAGAGACTGAGGTAACATAATCCTTCACAGCAGGTCACTTTGGCTTTTACACTCCTGTACTAAATTCAGTCTCATCACTCCTTAACAATGTGAAATTAA